TAAGAAAATTTTAGTAAATATATGGAAACGAGCTATTAATTACTTCATAACATATGAAAACATTTAATGTGTTTTTGAAATGTTTTTCATTAGTTTCACAAACGCTAATACGAGAGTTTGATCGAAATTTCATTGCAACAGATTTATATATACATTTTAGAAACTAAATAAAAATGGTTCTATAACTTTTTTAGTCCCTTTTTCTATTTAGCATAAGCTAAAAAAGTTAAATATTTTTCATGGTTTTGAGATTGTTTGTGATGTGAAATCAGCGGATAAATTAATGATAAAAATTTCGCAAATAAAGTTAATAAAAGTTTTTTTGGTAAGAAAAAATTTAATCCACTATCTAAATTCTATCCGATTAAAATTACTTATGTAAATAATCATTTACAATTGTGCTTTTGAAAGATTTGGTAACTTAAATGACGTATTCTCAAACGTGTTAAGGTTATTCAATTTTTTCCTTATTCAATACGAATTAATAAAAAAAGCATGAAAATATTGGTTTTCTTTTATGTATCACCTACTATAAGAAGCATTTTTAATCAACTAAAACCATAAATCCTAATGTAATTTCTTATTATTCTCTCTTTCTTTGGCTTTTACATTATTCATGAAAAAGAAAAGTATTAATCGAAGATTATGTTTCTAGTCTAAAAAGATCACTTTTGAAGCTGTTGTTATGTAAAAGAGATTGCTATTTTCTCTAGTGAATACATTTTTGTTGTTCTTAATATAAAATATTTAAACAGCTATAAAAACTGATTACCGATTTCTCTTTTTAACCAATAGGGATAAACACAAATAAGTAATAAAAAAAAAACGTATAAAGTTGAACGCCGATCTAACAAAAAGTAACTTGACGTGGTGGTTGAAGTTAATTTACACTCTTTTCATATAAAAATTCTACTTTAACGTGGATTTTATTCATTTGCCGCTCGCGTGAAGAAAATATATGAATAAGTAATAAATGTTAGAGATAACATCATTATAGTTAATCCTTTGGAAGGGAGGAGTTAGTTTGAAAGAGAAATTATTTTATATCCTTGTCTCTCGATAGCTTGGATCTTTTGTTAAGGTATTAGCTCATCTTCTGTTCTCTATATCATAATGAATGAATCTAATACATTTTTAATTACGAAAAGTCTTTCTAACATGCTTGTTGATGTTTACATATTATATATTCTATTTAGAAGAGTCACATAGTTGTATGCTGTTTTGTTTTCTTTCAAAAGCGAAATATTTTTTGAAATTCTGGTAAAATGATTTGGCAAATGATTTTATGTTTGAAACTATTCACTGAGAACTATTAATGAGTTGAAAGTTTAACCGTAATGGATTAAATTTGGTTTTATACTTTTTTGTATTATAATGCTTGTTGCAATATTAAATACTTGATTAAAGTTATCCAGTTGAAAGGAGAATCTTATAAGAATGTTTAGGACATAAATAGACATTTGTGTGAAATATTACTGATTACACCCGAATCTAAAAAGTTTTTACGAAAGACATTAAAGCGTGAATAAAATACTTTTCCTTAAAATTCTGATAAATTGACATTTTATTAAGTTGGAAAATGATTAGATTTTTAAATCTGCGCTGAGAAAAAAAGTATGGACAAAACTACCACAATATCGTGAAATTTAACGTGTTTTTGGCTCTATGGGAACATCAAAAACCTCGATAATTTTTACCAAAGCTCCTTGGTAATGATTTTGGTAAAATTAACAATAAAGAACAGATTTGTAATGTGTGATAAAATTTGATAAATGGAGTAAAATTCGTTAATTTTATCATAATAGAACAGGACATACATACCATTTATTCGATTAAAATTACTTTTTTTTTCCACAAAATGTGTGGTAATTAGAATTAGAATTTTAAAAACCAGAATTTTTGATAACCATTTCCATATGAATGAAAAAATTGCCAAATTAATGGTTTGAATGATGTAGAGTTTTATAAACCAGAATTATAGTTTTTTTACCAGAAATGTTATTACCAAACAGTACGATAATTTTACCAGAATTCTTTTCTCCCTGTATTCCTTGTGAGCTATAAATGAGTTGCAAGTTTAAGTGCAATTGACTAAATCTGGTGTATTTTTTTATTTATCATAATACTTATACTAAAATTAAGTACTTGCTAAAAGTTAGCAGATATAAATAATGGAACACAATTTTTAAGAACTAAGCACCTGCGTAAAAAAATTGCATAGGTCCCAATCTTACAGTTTTTACCAAAGATCCTAAAGTATGAGAATTGTTTGCAAATAAAATTACCACACTGATTATAATTAGTTAATTGCCAGTTTAATTTTAAGCTCATGGTATCTCCTTAATATTAGTTTTTTTTTAAATCGAAACATTCATTAATATTTGATTTAGAATGGAGAAGCTGCATTATACTGAAAAAAAAGTTTTCTGTTTCTTTTTAGCTGTTTAAATAGTTTGGCAAATGTAACTAATTTTATGCATAGTTCAGAATTTGGTTAATGTGATCGACGTAATATTAAATAAGACGGACAAGTATTATCGTCATCTTGCTATAGTCACGCCTGCAAAAATGCCTTGGGGTCGGTAATGCCTCAAGATATGATTTAAACTTGAGGTATCTATCGATAAGCATAATTTAATCAATTTCCTGAAAATGCCCTTAGACAAAAGTCACAGTTACAAAGACGAAACAGAGAGAATAGATGTTCTCTGCTTTCCTCAATCTGTTAAAAGCGAAAATGTAAATCAAGATTTATAGTTCCAAATTTACATTGTTTAACTTCTATTTAGTTTATTAGATATGACAGCAGATCTGTTCCAATATTTATTTAATAATAATGAATAATTTCGTAATTTTCGATTTATCACCTCTTTATTCAATCATCGGAAAAGAATTTTCGGTTAAATATATTTTCCTCCGCTCTTTCAATTTAAACGAGAATGAAAATTGAGATTTACCGGTTTAAGCTAAGATTGTCTCTGTACTTTGTCTAGTTTGCATATTTTCTGCGCCTGAAAAGAGAATTTAATAGAGTTTCAACTCCAAGCTTATGGGAATAGATTATTCAATTTCTTTTGTATGTGAGAAAAGGAGTGTCTGAGAATGAGAAAAATGCATGGGGGTCGGCATTTTTTCCGAGAGAGACACAGTACATGGATTTATTTTCAATTTCTGAAATTCAAAATAATTTTAATTATCGATTTCCGTATTTCGAAATCAAAAATAAAACCTTTTCTAATCACAGGATTTATTTAAAAGTATATTCAAGTCAGTCACTTTCTGTAACAATAATTATATTATTAATTTTTATCATTATATACATTTGCTTATTTTTAAAGTAGCTAATATTAGTTTTTTTTTTGCCTGAAAAGGGCTGTGAATTTCATACGTAGATGGATTATCAGTGCTAGAAATACCGGCTAATAGCTTTTTAACTTAAAAAAAGCATCAGTGTAGAATGTAACGGACAATTTTAAATCCGGTAAAGGCATACACATCCCTACTGGGTTTCAATAAAAGATTATTATTAATAACCACTCTACCTTTTAATTGTTGTGATAAAAATGATGATGCACACTGCCCGGTATTCCCAACACTGATGTTTTTATGGTTAATGGTATACACTTGCCCGGTATACCTTACGCAGAAGTTGGTAACATTCTCCTACAGTGTCCGTTATTCTCCTACAGTGATATTTTCTTTAAAATATCCCATCTGAGAATTTTAAAGCCACCCCCAAGCAAAGAAAACTTTATTCCTATAACTTGTGTTAAATGATGATTATATTAAAAAGTTTAAAAAAATAAATAAAGGGAATCAAGGAATTGAAGGGTATAGGAAAGCAGTATAAGAATCTTCAGCAGTATATTATAGTCGTAATCAGATATAGGAAATATGTAAACCGGTTCAACACTGAATCATAATATCGTGCAAATATGGTGCAACCTTAATAAATTGCAGATGTTTCTTTATCGCGTTGTTAAGTTCAGAAATAATTAATTTGCCTGCTAATATGGTTCAACTCAGCATCGTATTGAGATTTCATCAAAATTGGACGATATTATGGTATTATGTTCAACACATTTGCAACAGTGCATAAATTGACAACGAAACTATTAGTTAAATGTTATACTTGATTCATGAAAATTTATATTGTATGTACTAATTTATTCCAGATATGAGTAAGCTAACAATATCGGAAAAACATAATTTTTTTAAGACCCCGTTCGCTGTGTAGAAGCTACTGTTTAAATTTAAATTATACTATTGAAACCTTGAACCATAATATTCTTTACATTTCTTCACATCTTTAAGTGCTAAAATATGGTAAGTAAAGTATGTTAAATGATAGTGGCATACAATAAAATTTTAGAATTTTTAGTTTGCATAGTAATGGTTGATTTTAGCCCTCTATGAAAGTTGCTACAAACTTAGACGATATTATGGTTTAAAAAAAAGTGCCACAAAACTCACCCAAGATTTCGATTTTGATTCATTAGTGCGATAGAATGTTACCAACGAAAAAAAAAGTCATCAGGGCCACTGACAGTTCAGCGTTATTAAAATTCACGTTACATAAGAAGGAAAAACCCGCTTTTGTTCTTGAGAAATGTGGAGTCCTTCCCTGGTCAAATAAGTTTATTTTTGGTAAACAGAATTGGCCACTTTGATCTTTCAATTTAAGAAAGCTAGACATTTTTTATAGTCTTAGGTTTACGTCAACAAGTCCACAACCATCCACGCTTTATGGACAAAGGGGACCATTACAACAACGCCAACAACAATGGAACCATGAACGATATTCACCAGCTATACTATAATGTACATACTGCTTTGAATCAATAAAAAATTCACTATTTTCAGTTCACGCGTACTTTTTTTTTAATCATAATTACTTCTTGCATGAATTTTGAAACAACTTGTTGATAATATTGAAACCGCATTGAAAATTTAAAAAAATTTTCATTACTGAACTAATTTCCTTTAATCTTTCTTTCCAGAAAGTGAAACCCTTGAAGATTTTGGAAAGGCCTTACATCTAATGCGATCTGATTTGGAACATCTTCGAAATGTCTTCATGGCTGTTGAGACTGGTGATTTTAGCCTTTTAAAATCTCTTGGTATCCGTGATTCGGAGCTTGGGGATGTAAAGTTCTTCCTGGACAAGCTTGTCAGCACTGGATTTATGGATTAAATGATTGACACTTATGACTATCCTCCCTCCTCAATCCCTCCATTTGAGTCGTTAACACCAAATTATACATATGACGTCATACACGCAAATAAATGTAAACACAACACACATATGTATAATTGAGCGCATCAGTGTTTCAATTTACAGAATTTTTTGAAGATTTACTCACTTCTATTTGCTAAGCATATAAGTAGATTTTGACTGAAGGGAAAGTAATTTTGTGGATTTATTAAGAAAGTCAAGTTAATTTGGATTTTATTTCCTGCAACGAATGTTTTCAAAGCATTTACTGCAGTATGTCAATACAGTTATTATGTAGGATTAAAATTATTTATTTATTTACACACAAAAATTATTTTTTTTCCAATTGTCTTCATGTGTCTTTCCTCATGATACCCTAAGCCAAATCATTTTTACATTTCTATACTTATCGAAGCTTATAAGATTATATCAAAATGAATCCTCCAACAGCTTAGCGCACAAATATTTTGGAGGCATTCTATATTTATTACTATTCACTCCTCTGCAATTAGTCCTTTAATATTTGTTCACTTGCAAAATTGTATACTCCAGGTCTCTTATTTAATGGTGAATTCTTATTCTTTTCACCCACTCTTCTAATTCATACCAAATAAAAATTGCTTATACCGGTTACTGAAATGATATTAAATCATATCGATTGAACGCCATTGGTTATCTGCTTAAGTTTTTCAATTAAATTTTATTCGTGAAAAGGTAATTTTATGAGCCATTGTTCAAAAAATATAAAAACTCATTGACGTTTTTTTAACTTGAAATTTTTCATGATATATTAATGCATATCGTAATTGCAAAAAATATGAGTTTGAAGCAAAGATTAAAAACTGAGAAAACTTAATAAATAAGAAAATTATAATGCTTGAGCTCAAGAAAGCACTACAAGTACAAGTGTATACCAGCCAATGTCCCGTAAACTCAAAAAAAAAAAGGTTAGTGTAGGGAATATCGGGCATGTGTATGCTGGACTTATATCCTAACATGCACGCTTTTAGAAAAAAATATTTGCAATAGATTGACATTATCAAATATAAATTCGTTTGAAACTTTAACCAAATTGGTTAGAATAAGTTGTAAAATATATGTTTGTTAGAAAAGAAGCTGTGGTTTTTACATAAAAGACAATCGGTATGTTTTTGTCGCTCGGTCGTATACTTCACTTCAATCGAACTCTTGTCATTTGTTGGAAAGAATAATGAATTTGCCTTCTTTTGAGACCTATAATATGTGATATAAGATAAATTTCAATTGTATTAAGTGGTCTTGTGAGAACACTGAGTCAACTCATGGTGCCATTTGAGGTTGCATGATTGTGCAAGCTCTCTTATTTAATTTTCTTTTTCTTTATTGCATCTAGAAAGGATGCTCTTCTATTTCCCTTCAATCGGTGTTAATGTTCTAAGTGTTTCATAACAGAGTATTGTTGCGCTCTCTTTACATAAGCCGCACTACTGTCATAAAAAATCAAAACAAATTTTAAACCGATTCGGTGATAAATCACAATTTCTTTGAGGAGCGAAATGCAAAATTGAAATATTGTGATAAATTGTATAAAAGTTCAAAATTAATGCAGCGCTAAAATATACTTAGATGAACTATTTGAAAATACATGAGCTCTTCGTTAACTAAATATAAATTTTATGGCAATATTTTTCCTTGTGCTAGAAGACATTTACTTGGTGTGACTATTGAGTGTTTTTTGATTAGAATTTATGCATGTGTCGTAACTGATTTTATTTTAATACTTGGATATAAACTTTGATAGAAATGAAATGTATCTACTCTTCGTGAGGGATATTTTTTAAATCTTTCTATAAAGGCACAACGAACAAGGGAGGTATAGACACTTTGTGTATTATTCTAATAATCTTAATCTGAAGAAAGTTTAAATATATCTTTAGTGCCATTTGAATGTATATTATATATCTGAAAAAAATTTATCTTGTTGTCTCTTTAAATATATTTATTATTGGAATCCTAATAATGATGATTATATATATTGTATTTCTTCATTTACTACGTGACAATATGAAAAAGCAGTGTGGTGAAAAATCCTGCAGTAATTGCAATTGAAGATGACATGTTGGATGCAGTTGAATGAAAGAACGGATGATGTTTCTTAATACTGGTGTAGCTTAAATTCCTGCTTGCTTTAATTTTTAAATACGCATGTGATTCAAAAGGTAAGGTAACAAGAGCTCAATTACGAACAAACAACATTTGTCTGGTTAATGTTCCAACATGGACTAGTACAACAAAAGTAATTACTACTTTTCCGAATGTTGCCTAACTTCTCTCTGCAATGAATTAAAAGTTAAGTTATTAAAAACTCTTCTTAATGTTTTGATTTCTAATTCTGCATTGTAAGATTTGACTGCAGGTTTCGGGAAGATCTTCAGTGTTTTGACGCGATGTAAGTATAGTTAAACGGACGCACAACCGATTTTAGATGTGGCTAAATTGTTGTTAAACTTACACATACCTAATATAATTTCTCACGAAAATAAGCGGTCTCAAAATCAATGCATTGAACTCACTCTAGGTTTCACGTCATGACTTTGGTTGTGTACACCTCAACTAACTAAAGCGCATGCGTAAACAGCGCACGATCACTTTTGGCTATGTTTCTATTGAGAACTAATTTAGAGGACCATGAACCACATAAATAATAGAGATTACATAAAAATTATGCTTCAGAATCTCAAATGGTTTTGGGAAGTATTTGCACAACCTGATTAAGAGCATATTTTTAAGTTCCATACAGCATGCATTTACTCAGCTGCTCTAAATCATAGTCTTAAAATCTTAAAATACTAGCAAAAATGTTGTAACTCTTGTCACCTTCCATTTTGATGCACTATCTCACATTTGTTTAATCATTGTTTTGAATCTGCTGTTTTATTTAATCAGGTAAACACGTTCTGTTTCATTTGAATCATAGAAATTAATAAATCAAATCAACATATCAATACTCCAAGATAAAATAATCTTTACCCAAAGAATCAACATATCATACTGGAGTTGCCTTAACTTCGCAGCAAATGTTTTTATAATTTTATAACATTCAAAGGAAGAAAAATTAAGTATGTGAATCCTTATCAATGTGCAAGTATTTTATCCTTTTATTGTACTTTAGTGTATTTGCAAGACACTGGTTTATTTATCAAAAGTTGAAAATTTCATTATTGATATGGTTAGTAAAATCTATTGATGGATAGTATATTAAAATTTATTTGAATTTTCGATGTTTCTAAAATTAGATAAGATTAATTAAATATATTTATCTAGGAAAAGATTATTATTCTATAATATATTTTCGAGAGCAATATTTACAACAAAACATTGATTTTTATGTATTTGTCATTGTAAAAAATTTTTACAAAGCATTCCATAAGCACTCTGTACAATTTTTTTAGAATTCAAAAACTTCTATATTCCTAAATGATAAATTAAATCATAATTCATAAAGCATTTCTGTTTTGTAAGAGAAATTCATTTTTATCATATTTTAACTTATTTATGTGAATTTTGATTAATGTCTTCACATAAACAGCACAATGACCAATTATTTGGTCACCGAATGGGTTTAAAAGGCTTTGATGCTATTTTCTTATATTGTTTTTCCTTATAAAAACTTACTCATTAAAATAAGGTCTTTCACTAAAAAAGTTTCGTCAAAATTCTCATATTACTTTCTGTGATTTATTGAACGACTATGATCATCAGACAATATTTAAGAGAAAATGTAAAATGTAAAGAATATATTTACACTGTATTCGATATTTATAAGTCGAATAAATCGCATCAAGTGTCTTGAATGTCCTTTTACAGCCATTCTTTTACATTTCATATATCATCACAAACACAATATTTCATTGATTCTAAATTGTTGGGCTTTGATCAATATGATGATAAATCACCTTTTTTGTTAAAGTGACATTAATTCATCAAACTGGTGTTTAATAGTATTTTTTTTTCATACAAGTACTTCACAAATTTGCACTAGACAACAGTACAATAGACAAAAGCATCATTTTGCCTTAATGGAAAGTGAGGCGCTTTTCACCATAACTGCTCTCCTATGGTCAATTTAAAAGCGTGGCATATCATTATATTGCCTAAAGTCCAACAATTTAACTTTCATTAAACTGTTTAATGTACTAAAAACTTCATTTCCTTGAGGAATATACAACTTGGAATAAACATAATAAAATAAGTAACAGTCGACATGTTTCAAAAGCTTAAAAACAGGCGCTCATTTTCAAGAATTTCCAGACGGGAAGGAGAAGAAACAAAAGTGATATGAAATATAAAGCGTAAAGTTAGCAACAAAAAATGGGAAGAAAAAAAACGAAACAACAGTAAAAACTACAGTAGTCGATGGAGAGGAAAATCAGAAAAAGAAAAACCACAGTTGCCGAGAAGGGCAAATCAGGGGGAAATGCATTTCTTCGCGCTTTGGAGTAGTGGTGAGGAATAACTTTTGTTTTTCCGTTTTTCGTTGACAACTTTATGTTTTTTAAAATCACTTTTCGTTCATATCTGGCAAGTCTTGAAAATAGGCGCCTATTTGTGAGCACTTAAAGCATGTCGACTGTTATTTCCAATTTGCATATTTTTGAAGCGAATGAAGTTCTTAATGAAATAATATATTACCACTAATTAATTATTTACAACTGCTTAATGGTTAGTATATTAAGTTAAAGAGCTTTACAACAAACCAAAGCGGTTTTGAGTTTCAAAATCTACCACCATACCAAGTTTACATTAACAAAGAAACAATCTACGGTGTTTAGAGGAAATTTTTTCAAAAAAATCCGCTGATTGGGTAAATGTTATGGAATTTTTCTGAGTCACCTAGCAACAGAGAAAAGTTTGATAAAATTCCTTGATTTTAGTGTCGATATTAAATGTTCTCCCATGATTACTCGATAATGGATTTGTCTGAGAACTAATCTCCCTGCAACAACCGTAGAGAGTTCTCTTTATGTAATTTTGAGCAAATTCTTCTCTTAAAATTTTTATACTTGGTAATTTTAAAATAGCACAACTTTAATGCATCATTCTGCTGAATTCCCTATTTGGTTACTTTCAGTTTATTTTGTATTAAATATTTTTAATTTTAATGTAACAAAGTTGTAGTTTACGTGTTCTGTATGACTTGTTTTGTATGAAAATTGTGTTTGAATTTATTATACTAACAATAAATCAGTTTCCTAACGAAACAAGAGAAAAAGAATTATAAGAGCTCTACATCGCAGTTTTCAAGAATTTACATTTTTTCCAAAGGTATAATTTTAGCCTCAAAATGTTTTTGTGTTGTTTCCAGATAGGTATATCACGATTTTAAGAAATTTTCTTTAGATAACAACACGATGCACATAAATGTTTTATTATATATATAAAAATCGTTATATTTCTCACCAAAATTTCTTTACACTTTCTTTTTAAAAAAAGCTCTCAACTATCCAAAAATAATTTCCTAAACAAGGTGAAGATGTGACTTATTATGATATTGCCCCCAGCCCTTCACATATAAAATGACTGAAATCTCGCAATTATGTTTCTGAGACTTATTTGTTTTTTATTGAAACTTTGTAAACAAGTTCATGAGATTTTATCTTTCTCTGTATTTTTTCTGTATTAGCTCAAACCAAATTTTGTTTGGAAATTTTACCAGAAATTTTTTTTTAAAAAAAGGGAAAAATTTTTAACGAAATAAGAGATTTTCAAAACAACATTTTTAAAGCTTTTTTAATGAAATTTTTAACATTTTTTAACACTTTTAGAGATTTTCAGCACATGAGCAAAAACTGCTTGAAATTTACTTTGTTCCAACTAAAAAACATTTTTGGTGTATTTAAAAAATATTCGGCAATTTAAAAATGAGCAGAGGCTAAAAAGCATAGTCACACATTGTAGAGAAAAAAGAAATTTAAAATTAAATTCCACTCAAATAATTATTGTATTGGAAAATGTGCAAAATTCAATATTCATACAATTTATTACAAGAGCAAAAATAGTATTACGTATTACTATTTTTGTTTGGCGTCCGTTAATCTTAGATAATTTTTAAATTGAGAGTAAAGAAAAAATAGCGCAGGAAAAAGAATTGAAGAAATATTCACAGAATTGAATTTAAGGAAATGATCATAAATATTTGTGGAAAATTGAATCCAAGGAAGAAAACCAACAACTGCACGTAAATATACTAAGAAAAGAGAGACGATAAGTTGTAGTAAGGTATAGCATATAAACTAAATATAAACAAAGATAACATATAAACCAAATAAGAAGAATAAATCTGTCCAGTAAATAGATTCAAACAATACAAATAGATTCAAATTGTGGAACTAGAAACTTTTAAGATGAAAAAGAAAAAGGAAACATTAGTTAGAGGAAAATAGCAGACGGTAACAAAATTAAAAAACAAAATTTGTAGTTGATTTTGAAAAGAATTAAAATAAAATAATAGTAAAATGACTATCCTTTATATCGCTCGTAAAAAACACTGACAATTCTAACGAAGGTAATTCGGAGAAAAGGTTTATTTTTAGTAATTTTGGCAACAACAAGCATAACAATGTAGCCTTTAAGGAAAAATAACGAAGACTATTTTCAACGATTTGAAAGCCAAGAGTTTTGATTTACGTTGAAAATAATAGTTTGTTTTCCGTAGTTCTTAGAAGGTTATTTGGTATCAGTATCACTCATATTTTCGTAGAAACTTAGTAGGAACCAAATTATTTAAAGTAGAATGTAGTATATAGATAGTTCTTGAAGGGTAAGAGACTAACAAAGATCTTAACTTTTTACTTCGAAAACAATTAAGTTTAAATATAGTTTACTGTAAAAAAAAAATTAGACTAAATACATAATTCATTCTAGCAACAGAAATAAGTATAAATTATTGCAAAAGTTCTCTATAAAAAACTTAAGAAGTTTTTTCTTTCCAAAAAGACCAAATTTGGACATTCGTGATGTTGAATAATGACAACTGAAGAAATGTGACACCCAAAAAAAAATTTTTTTAATAATGCTTAGATGTTTACGAATTAGTATAAAAGTAGAAAGATTTAACGTACGGTTGCTTGATAGTATTCGTAACAAGCAGCAGAAATAGGTAAACTTACTATTTTACTAAATTTTTATTAGATATTGACTACATTTTTATTAGAAATGTACAAAATTTTTATTAGAAATGGGTATATTTTACTGTGTGAAAGAGTTTTTTAAAAAACAATTTAGTGTTTCCATGGATGTTCAAATATAAAGTATGAAACAGTTCTACTGTTTTAAAAGAAAATAGTTTAAAGTAAGTACTTAAACTTACTTATTTTCGTCTTTATAATTTTTCAACTCTTATAAAGTATTTTTTTATGTTCTGCAACAAAACATTTTTTTACACTTGAAATACAAGATAGTTCAAATCATGTAATGTACACTTATATATTTTTCCATAAGTTAAGTATTCACAACAATTTGATGTACTTAACTGAAATTATATACGAAAAATGTTTATTATAGTGATAATTTTGTTTAAATAGAAACGCTTATTGCATAAATAGCGAATATTTGATGTCTATAATATAAATATCAACAGAATTTAAAATTAGCTGTTTTTAACGTTATTATTCCATCCATTTGAGAAAATCTCATTTGATGCATTATAATTTTAGTAAAAATTTATACATTCCCTTTTTTTAACAACATTTTTAATTCAGCAAATGCTTAGAAAACTGATGCACTCAAACTATTTCATACCTTCTTATTACATTAAGAGGATTTTATTTCAAAGCTGCCAGAAATACCAACATAAATTTTTCCCATAAATCAGATCTTTAAAATGTCTAGATTATCCTGATAAAATAAAAGGCTTGAACTCAAACTTTTTCGATGTGCTTTATTTAAAGCATCTTCGAATCGATCAAGGAAAAAAACCCACTTTTTATGGCATCAGAAAGCACTGAATCAGATACAGTAATGAGTAATTTTGAAATATGTATCGGCCTTAACCATTATACAAGTATGATTCAGGTGTAGGTGTGCTTTACATATTTCCCGCAAAACTTTTTATTTAATCTCGTTCTTTTTTTTTCGGGAGCTGTAGAACAAACGGTTTGTTGAAATTTGAAATCATTTTAAAGGTTCATTAGGTACATACCCGTATCAGATCCTAATTACATCATTGGTAATTTCGAAAAACGTCTTGATCTC